CGCTGGACTTTTTCCAACTCAAGGACATCTTTTCTTAGTACTGGTGACCAGAACTGGACCGCGTACTCCAGATGAGGTCGAACCAATGATCTATAAAGTGGCAAAATTATAGACTTGTCCCTGCAATACATCCCCTTTTTAATACAGGACAAGACCCTGCTAGCTTTGTTTACAGCAGCCTGGCACTGCAAACTACCTTTCAGTTTGTGGTCTACAATGACCCCCAAATCCTTCTCCATTTCTGACTTCCCCAGCGGCATACCCATAATTGTATAACCCATTTGTTTATTTTTAATTCCAAAGTGCATTACTTTGCATTTATCGACATTAAACCTCATCTGCCACATTAATGCCCACTCCCCTATTTTATCCAGGTCCTCCTGTAATGTTATAGTGTCTAAGTCCGTGTCTATTACCCTCCCTATTTTGGTGTCATCCGCAAACACGGAAATATCGCTCTTAACACCCTCCCCGATGTGAGTTTCCCCACAGCAAGTCTCAGTGACCACTGTGAAAAGCTTTCTTAAAGTCAATAAAGTTGATGGCAAGCATTGTTCATCCGTGCTTCTAAGCATGAATATGTGCTTGCTGCAATAGCATCCCATGTGCAGCCCAGCAGTCTTTTGAGTAGTATGGTTGTAAGAAAATGACACGAAATATGATTTTTTATGTCTTATTCCTTTTCTCGAAGCATAGGGTGGAAAAGTTCAATAATAGATGATTGTTTCCGTTGTTGCATAAAGTTCAGAATGTGTTTAATTTAAAGTTACAAAATATTACAGGATATGGTATATCTTACAGAATGAGTCTATAAGATGCTTGATGATTACAAAATATAGTATATCTTACAGCAGAAATCTATAAGATGCTTAAGAAACGTGGCTAGGGAGTAAGTAAAAATAGTCCTAACAGGTGTCTGTCTATTCAATGTGAGTGTGGGGGTGTGGGCGTGTCTTTGTGATGCTGTGCGTGTGTGTGTGTGTGTGTGTGTGTGTGTGGATCTGTAGTAAATGAGTGTGAGTGCGTGTCTTGAAGGATCATCCCTCATCATTTTATCCATGCTTTTACTTTAAAATAACCTATGTGATGTTTACCTTAAAAGTCTTTCTGATTAGCATAAGGGAGTGCAATACACTAGTAGCTGAGTAATGTGTTCTCCTTCTATCCCATTTTGGGCATCATAGTCTATGTCCTGAGTAATGTGGTTTATTCTTCAAACTCATTTTGAAGGCCAAGTCTTCTTTGGCCATTCCCAACAACTGTTTCAACTATACTTAGATCTGCCTGTCAGGCTTACTGATTCATTACCAATTGTAACTCAAAATCAGCAGTATAGTAAAAACTGAATCTCCAAACTTGGATAGATTAAAATATAGAAAATCAATCATCATTTAAGGTTCACACATACATATTTCAATATCTGGTTTTAACAATGGTACAGAAGACTTTACCTGGCACTGAAATCTGTGATACCCCACCAGTTGTTGCAGTCTGAAGTATTTCCTTCATTAGGGAGCTTTACAATCACACGTCTCCTCTATTTGCTAGGAACATGCTGTTTTCCATTTGAATATTTTAGTAAGGGTCATCCATATTGCATGGCTTCCATATTTCAGCACCTCTGCTGTGATTTCATCAAATACAATACAGAGGTTTTAACTGGGGATATGTTCTAAGATAACAGGCTTATTTGTCCCTTTCCTCTGTGTCTTTAAGAGGAACTCCAGGAATTGTAAAAAGCAAACCTTGCAGTATGGTTACCCCCACACTGCAAGGGTTAACTCCTTATTTTTCTCGGGGGTCAGAATAAAGAAGATATAATCACCTGATGCTCGGTCCTGTGTTGGGCAGCGTTCGCCTCTCTCCCCTTCCTCCCTGGCAGTGGAATGTCACTCAGCTTCTGCATGTTTAATGCACTTGCATTAGGCGTGATGACGTCACAGGGCCTGTCTAACAGCCAGTCAGGCCCGAGGATTAGGTGAGTATAACTTCTTATTTTAGCCCCTAGACCAAATGATCAGTTATCCCTTCCAGTTCGGGGGTAGCCCCGCTGCAAAGGTTAGTTATCACAATTACTGGAGTTCCTCTTTAAGGAGGTCCATACATTTGTACAACGATTGTCTTAGCGTTTGGACTGGAACTGCGTAGTGATATTGTGATTGGTCACAGGTCTCCATCCCAGCAGAGAATGGGTTGCCTCTTTGCTCAGTATTGGGCTGACACTGTGCAGATGCTGTTATTTGTGGTCCGAATATAAAATCCTCTTTCAATCACTGCTGATCTGATGCTCCTAGATAATTTCATTCCACTGTTCCCCAAGATGTCAAGCTTAAAGTTCTTGAATCCTCGGAGGGCGTGTGCAATTTTTCACATTGATACCGGGTAAGTACATTCCAGGTTCCCACTTTGGTCATATACAGTATGTTGCACTAAGAATACTGGATTGCATCAGACACCCAGTTGGGTTTCCTCCACAGCTGTCATGCCAGAGTAAAGATATATAATGGTTTGAAGCTCTTATTATCTCCTCCCCAGGGAACTCCAACATGACCTTTTTCTCTCATGTGAAACTCCGGTTGCATTCCTGACAAGACCAAGAATGCTGTCCTTAATATGCTGGTGCGGCATTAAGGTGTAGTTCAACACGCACAGCTTTATAGGGATAATATGGAATAATCAGATAAATATCACCGGCATTATAATGACTACTATTTGTGTGTTCAGCGGTTAAATTCCAGAACATTGTGGGCAGTAGAGACTCTGGCATTTAATAGATGAATGTCAGAGAGTAGGGTTTAATCTCAATAAATTGAGACCACATATGCTGGTTGAGCCTAGGATATAAGGGGCTGCACAGGTCCCGATTTTAAGCCTAACATGGGACAGTAGGTCTCTGACACCTTTGCAGCCGGTGGCATGGACTGTGGAGCCAGAGCCCTCAACACTGCTCTGTGTTTGGGAACTGCTGATGATTACTCCACATAACTGCAAAGTGAATTTTGTACCATTGATTAAAGCACAAACAAATACTGTGGTACTGTAATATTTTTAATTAAAGAGCTGCTAAGTTTTTAACATTCATTTGCCTGAGACAGATTCTCTGGCTTTAGGTCATTTTTAGTTTATTATACAGGCTCCGAGGCCATCCTTGTCATTCTTGCTCAGTAAGTGACTTGGTGAATGATGACTACTTGGTGAGTTATGGTCAGCCAAGTGTTGGAACACCTTATACGCAGGTACTTGTCAGTCTTGGTAAGTAGTGACGCAAAGAAAAATATAACAGCCTTGGATCCTTCACCTTCAGAAGTCAGCAATGGTGACCCGATATTTTGTCCTGACAGGTTCCTTTTAAGGAAAGAGAGAAACTTGTAGACCTAGAGTGAACCAAAGGAGTGAGCATTTCAGTTTGCACAGGGAACTACCCTATGTTCTGGAGAGCAATGGGCACACTGGAAGATTTTACAAGTTGTATGCAGACTGTAGTAACATCTTGGTAGCAGTTTACATACACAAAGGTCTGATTTACATTAAACATAATCAATAATGTAGAGCATGTGGTTTGTAGGTTCTGTCTTTAGCTGATGGCTTGTACACCACAGCAGAGCTAACTGATACTCGGTACCACTCCCGGGAAAGGTATTGATTGCACTCTCCTACTGAAGCTCTGGGCACTGCAGCAGAACCAGCCTTGAATGCCCTAATAGATCCACTCCAAGTATAGGTGCTCTTTTTTGGCATAGTTTTTATAGTATAACAGGACTGTTCAGTCACTCTAGACATATTATTTATTATCTCATGTCATTGCAAATATACAGGTTTTTAAAACAACCCCAGTGCCTAAGGACATAGTGTTCTGTAGATATCTGTAGTGACAGTTGTTTATATATCGTGTCTCTGTGATTGTTCCTTTAGTCCTCATCATATCTGCAAAGTGGGAGTGTGTGCTATTCCATATGCAGTCCCGCATCCTATGTTGCAATGTTGCATGCACTGCTGTGCCATTATTTCTTAATGACACCCAAATTACCTACCCATTGCATGTGTGTTGCATCGCATGGTAACCGATTACCATGCATGGCAGTGCAGTTTAAAAAAAGGTGCATGCTCTTGAGTACAATTCAGGTGTGGCAGGCAGCACATTCAAACAAATGAGCTGCCCTACTGCAACGCACCCACGATGTTGCAACGGAGATGCGTGATCAGGGCGTTTAAATAACTGTATTTTCCTGTAAACAGACATGTTGGCTACAAGAAACTTTTTAATATTTTAGTAAGGCCTTTCAACAGTCAGAGGGAACAAGATAGTATCTAATGGGTCTTGAAGGTCAGGCTGCATCTTAAGTTGTCTCTCCTTAGTGCAGATCCGGCCTCTCTGTCACCAGCTAAACATTTCTTTAACGGATTTGGCCGTATGCAGGAAACAGGCTAACTTAATGCATAGGTCAGATTTCTTCAATGAATGCACACACGTTATGAATGGATACATTGGCATCTCTCACTTATACTTTTTTTTATAATGGCGTGGACTTCTGTAAGACATTTCAGCCTTGCAATGCATGTAACAATAGACTGCCACTTGTTCTGTCACAAAGGTTTTCTGTGTCTGCAAGTTTTGTTTCAATAATTGGCTTTCCATTTCATCTTTTCTGACAAATAATAATGCAAATCCTGCAAGGTCATCGCATATGGATTTTAACGTAAGTTTACTGTATGGGTAGTAAACCTATGACTTCACAGTTGTTGATCTGAAAAGATTTGCAAAATAATGACGCTCCTCCACCATGCTGAATGAACTCTTTTTGACGGTGTAATCTTCGATTTGTCCACACGGGGGAGCAGTTGGTCTTTACATTGGCTACTGTAAGCGAATTGGGGAGATCCATCCCATTCTTGCACACGTGCAGTAGGCATAAACAGGGGAAGGGAAGTGAGGAAGCATGTCATCTGTGATCCCGCCCAGCACACAGCAATAACAAGCAGTGCCTTGCTGCTGCTGTGTGTGAGCTGCTGTTTGGTGTGTACTCTGGCACTCTGCTGCTATGAAGCTGTCCTGTAGCCTCCACTGATCTCTCTCTATATACTATGGCTGCTGCTATTAGCAGTAAAAGCAACATCAATGGGATGACAGTGGGCTCCATACAGTCTCCAGGTTCCTATAGCCTGGATCACATTAGGAGGCAGCAGCGCATGGATCCTCGCAGGAGACAGGCTGCCCTCTCTTTCCTTACCAACATCTCCTTGGATGGGCGACCCCTGCAGGCTAATGGGGTAACCAGGGAGGGTTCTGCATGTGCAGCAAGCAGGACTCAGCAGACTTCTCATTTTGCAGAAAAGGATGCAATGCACAATACACCACTCAATGCAACATTGCCTGCAAGTCCTATGCATCAGGTCCATGCATCGCTCAGCAAGTCAGGACTAACCTCTCCATCAGGACCCTTACCTATTTCTGCAGGTGGGAGACGGGAGCACATGGAGCAAGATATGCAGTTAAGGAAACACCAAATAATTGAGTATGATGAGGAAGAAGAGGATGATGCCTTTACAAGCAGTGTTCCAGCATCAGCAGGGAGCGGGGTCCCTGTCCAACCACCTTGCGTAGGTAGCAGAGGCCGTCTTAACTCCCTCACCTCTGCTATCTTACCAGCTGCTTTTTGCAGGACTTCAGCCACCCCATTCTTCAGCTGTAATGACCAAATACTGAGCGGGACCAGCATTGCCTTTGAAATCCAGAGGTCACGGTAAGGAAAGAAATCTGATCAAACAATCTGTTATCCAGAAAGTTCCTCAGACCAGAAAGATAAGAGTAAACCATTGCTGCTTTTCTGGAAAAACATGCACACAATCACAGAGCACAATCTTACATCTACTGGGAAGAATGGTGCTAAATGATTCTGAGGATGGGGATGTCATAGAAGGCAGTGTGAGGAATAGAGATGTCATTTTTGTATATATATATGCCATCAGAATAGCAGATGCTTCAACATTCCATGTAAACTATCCTCTATAGTTACCATAGCAATGTCTTACTGTTTTAATAGCCAATATAAAGCAAAATTTAGGCAAAGTAATATTTGGTGTGCTCGCTGTTGTAATACAGAGACCATATGGCATTGTTTTACAACTATTGACATAATCCGTGACCACTCCAGCATTGATCGTCTAAAAACATAATTTAAACTCTGTAGAGTTCTAACTGGTCTCTTAGTTTGTCCAGCATTTGCCTCGCCATACTTCTCTTTTAGATTTAACCTTGCTGATCCATACAAAAATCTTCTATGCTATCAGTGCAGTAAATGAACCATAGTCTTATCTTTCATTCATTGACTTTATATAAAAAAGCTTGCAGCAAATGCATTTTATTCAGAGCTGATATAATGAAAGCTATAGGTAGAATATGAACTCTGGGATAAGCAAATATTATCTAAATACAAGAGTTGTGTGTTTTCTTACTGCAATCTTGGTGAACATTGTGTATTTCTTCCAGATCTGTGCAGTAATCCAATGTTTAGTTTGCCCTGTGCAGGAGCTTCGTGTAATAAAGACCAGTCACTGCTGTTCTCTCTTCTTGTGCAGGGTGATTGGTCTTGTATCTGCCCTGTCTTGTAGCTGTCTGCAGGCAGCTTGTAGTTGGGTGGGCCTAGTGGGACTCTCCCACACCTCTGCTTTTTGCACAGGCTATGTGCAGCACACTGATGATACATAACTGGATTTTCAAAGACAGTAGGTGGACACAGATTGGGTTTATATCCTTTGTGGCTATTGACGAACATATTTAAATGAAAGTTTGAGCCCAGAGTTCAGCTTTAATTACATTGTCAGCCAAGACCTTTTAGTATATGCCAGCCATTGTAGTTTGGCATCAAGGCAACAACGCAAATGTATTTTAGTATGCAGTGATTTGATCTATCCTGCAACATATTGACATTCATGAAGTGTAAACATACATGGTAAACTTTCTCTTTAAGAATGAAGCTGTTCTATGTACAGGACGTACACATGCTTCATGACAACACTTCTGGGTCTGAGTCCTGTACCTGCTTAATCTGTGAGCATACTGTATAGCCTGGAGCCGAATTGTTTGTTTAGTATCCATGTGACTGTGTTTTTCATATAAAGCTAACAATAACCTAGTGATCACAACAGAGTTAGTTTAATCAGGGCTGTCTGCATTTGATGGCTTCATTCTTATGGATGCAACGTAAAGCCCAATTCCAGACATAATACACACATTACAGGTCAGTAAGTTGTAGGGGCCCTTTGCTGTAAATTCACATGCCATAATAAGATTATTTCCCCCATCTCCCTGCAAATCTTATGCATTCCTGCTGGTGGAAGTCTAGCTCTTTCTGATCTTCCGTGGTCACTCTGGTTGTAGCGCTGCAGTCACATCTCCGTCCCCCTCTCCTCCTGGCCAATCACAAAGCAAACGGTTCCAGGGTCCATTTTGTGATAGACCAGGAGGAGAGGGCGATGGAGATGCATTTGCAGTGCTGAAGTCCTTTTAGACCTGGAGTAGTCATATAAGTTCAGTGGAAGTGGGACTTCCACCCGCAGGTGTACTAAAGATTTAGGCCTCATTTAATGCCCGTATAGTGTGAAGGGCCAGTTGTTGATGCGCCTGGAGCTGCGAGAAGAATTGCGCGGGCAGCTCATGTAAGTATATGGAGACGCAGGAGCTACATGCCCTCATGCGCTGCTTCCTGCAGACTATACAGCCTGGGATGCAGACAGGATGCATCTAGGTCTGTGCGCCGTCTGTATTAGGCTGTCAAAACCCGGAGCTACGGGAAGCTGTGTGTGAAAGCTTCCCCATAAATGTACATGAGTTGCCTGCACGTGTCTTCCTGCAGCTCCAGGCGCATCAACAACCGCTCCGTCATGCCGTATGGGGGCAACGCTCACCATGCGAATTGAGCCTGAGGCTAGGTTCTCACCTAGGCGACACCTCGCCGATTGACACGTGGTCAGGAGTTTCCAAGGTGTGAACCAATCGCACTGTGGGTGCCATTATTTTCTAATGGAACCCCAGTCACACTGGGCGGATTGCGCTGTTTCCCGGTGTGATTCCGCCCGTGTTTCAGAACAGCCGCGCGTCAGGTATCGCAAAAAAAAGGTACTTGTACCTTTTTTCTGCGATTGCTGTGCGGATGTCGCCCCATTCAAGTCCACCGGGTGTCATGCGGTGTAGTGCAGGTGTGAGCCTAGCCTCACAGGGAGATGATGAAAAATCTTATTATGACATGTGAGTTGACAGCAAAGGGTCTCTACAACTTACTGACCTGCAACTAGTATATTGTGTCTGTAGTTTGGCTTTAGGAAAACTGTTATGCTGGAAACAATGTATGTTCTAGGTTTAATAAGCAAGAGGGAATACGCCAGTACAAATGTATCTCATTCACACTTATTCTTTAACCTCTTGCCGTCCGCCCGTAGTAAAAAAACGGACGGACAGCTAGTTCTCACCTGTGTTTAACACCAGTATGCCTGAAATATGTATCCGTGACACTGCCTATCTGTTGTAGGAGAGTGTTTGTTTGTTTTTGTTTTTAGTGTAGCACACTCATAAGCACTGCATGTGAATGTAGAAGGTGTAGTAGAATGAACAAGGCCTTAAAAAAAAAGTGGACGCCTTAAAAAAAACTTTATATACTTCATACAGTGGGAATGGGTCATACCTGGGTCATTAGTGGGTGTAGCAACAGCCCTCTATTGTATGAAAGGCTGATTCCTTTTCAGGAAAAACCTGAGGTGTACTTTATATAGCAAATCCAATGCTGAATCTGCGCTGCAGGCTTTCTTATACAGGGTAAAGCTATGTGGTTAATTGGTTTAGAGTTTGTGTGACTGCAATCTTAAAGTAGAAATGACGCCAAAACTTTTTTATAACCCCTGTCAACTTTTTTTTTTTGCCATCTGTGTCCTATTGGGAAGATTTCCCTTTACTTCCTGTGCAATAGCCACAACAGGAAGTGAGAGGAAATCCCTCCAAGAGGCAAATCACTGGTGGTTAGCAGGGTCACCAGAACTAGTGTCCCCATTGGATGATTCCTCATCTATTCCTGTTGAGGAGACAACCCAGCATTTGGTATCTTCTTTCATTTTCAGTGATGATGGTGGCCAGGACAAATAGAGATGGTGAATCTCCCTAACAGAGGCATAGAATGCAATAAAAACAGAGGAGCCATAATGCAGCCAATATAATATGCTACATATGCATGTTATATGTTAATAATTGTATACAAGTGAACACAGTGCAGTCACACTTATTTTGTAAAACTGACCCCGGCCTTATACTCTGCTGTCCCCAGTCTTTCTTGGCAGTGCACAGTCCCTAGCCAAATCCTCTCCACCAGACCCCTGCTTGTGTACTAAAATCTCCATTCAGTCCTAGGGAGAGATTATATACAAGTATAAGAAAGGGAGTCTTTGTATAATCATTGTAACTGCATTTTATACAATACATTTAAAAGGATAGGTGCAATTTTAAACAAGGTGCACTTATCCTTTTTGTCCCCCACCCTCCTTTTAAGCAGATGTATACTTTCCTGTTACAATGCATCCTTCCCCCAATATCCTCTGTACCTGTAGATCTCCATAGACTTGTGCAGCCTGGTATTTTATGATTTTAAATAGCTTTTTTTTTTTCTAACTTACTCTCAGGAATAATGATCCAAATGGTAATTGGCATGTCCCTTTAAGCCTTCGTTAAAACTGAACAGAGATAAATAATGTATGAAGCAATTTTAATCATCCCATAAATGAAGAATAATATATATGTTGACTGGCTGCATTCTGACCTCATCGTTCACAGAGAAAATTGTATCAACTAGCATGCAGCTATGTAGATCATGAAATGTGTTTTCTACTGCAGGGTTAGAAAAATTCATATGGAATCCAGGAGCCTGTAGATTTCTTTAAAGAGCCAGCTCAATTGACAAGAACTAAGGAAAACCTTAAAAGTTAGACACCAGCTAGAATTTTTGAGGAACATTGGCGACCTGGCTCCTGGGATTTGTCCAGACTTGTTCTATTTTATCCATACAGTTAATCTGCTCCTGTGTGTTTTTTTTTGTTTTTGTTTTTTTAACCAAGAACCACTGATCACTGGTCTTAGAATCTGTCAGTAAATTATTATAACTGTACAGGTGTACTTAAATTCCTGTTTTACTAGGGGATGATCTAATACTCGCCTTAAAGGAGAACTATGAGGTGAATGCTTTTCACTCACCTCATAGTTCTAGCCGACCTGTGACAATGAGACTGTCACAGGTCGGCTCAGTAGATCGGGAGGTGAGCGAACACATACCGGGTTCGCTCGCCTCCCGATCCTGTCACGGCTCTCTGCCGTGACAGGGGGAGGGGCTGGATTCCCCTCTCCCCGCTCCGATCTGCCAGCGCTGACTGGCGGAACGGACAGGGGAGGGGGCGGGTACAGCTGGCTCTGCCTCTAGATAGGCAGAGCCAGCTGTCACTCACGCAGCTGGGCGGATCCCGTCATCTACGTCGGGATCCGCTCCGGCTGCGGCGTCTCAGTATACCGCGAGCTATACTGAGCCTAGGGTAACGGGAGGACGCTAGTTTGTGTCCTCCCGTTACCCTAAGGAGAACTATGGGGAAAAACACTGACCCCATAGTTCTCCTTTAAGCCATAGTCTGCTCATAGTTCTCAATCTTTTCAATCTCAATAGTTCTCAATCTTGATAGCTGTAGTGTTGGTAGTTCATAGTGGAATTGGCAC